CAAATAATAGAACAAATAATTGTTTGTGAATAAGTTGTAGTAAATTTAAAACACAGAATCAAATTATGGGTCTGTTTCGATGTAAAAAGTGTTTCTCCTGTAATAAAAAGTGGATATTCCTGTTTTAAACTTATTCTGTAGTTCCAAATATTGATAAATTTTCTGGGATGAGAGGTCAAAAATTGATATATAAACCTATAGCAAACTCGGTATTTTAATATTCTTAAATAAAGAACCCAAGCTAATGTTTTCGTTTCTGAGGCGGCAGTTACACTTCTTTATCTATCTTATAAAAGTACTGTAATTTTAAAAATATTAGCAGATTCTACTTTACAAGTTCTAATTTTAAGGTTATACATTCTCTATAGTTTCTTTAACACCCTGATTAAAAGATACATAAAATCTTGTATAATCATGTTTTGAGTCCACGAACCAAGCCATTTATATGTGTTTTTGGTTTAAAGTTAATTTTTTGTTCATACTGAAATCACAGCTTCTAACATCAAGTCGAACAAGCGTATTTTATTTTTAATATCAATGACTTATATCTTGTCTAATAGAATCCAGCACTTTGCTTTTTATTAAGGTATTGTTATTGGTTTCTCTATACTGAGGAATCAACTTAGCTAAAAAAAATACTCAGTTCACATTACTTTAAATACTGAATATTTATCTAGTTTTATTACTTGCTTCTTTTGTTATTCAACATAACAATATAAACTACTCAATACACCATTCTGTTGATCTAATATGTGTAAGGAACACCGCAATATTTGAGACCAAATAGCCCATATTAGATAATATATGCTATAGTAATAACAAGTTTGTGCACTACGCATGCTAAAAACTCGCACTGCTACCTCAATTTAATGAGCAAAATACAACCTATTACATTACACATTTGTTTATTTCAGCAACTATACACTACCATGTTTTTGTTCTTTTTACCAAATATTATTTCCAAACCTGTGAAAAAAATTTTAATTGAATACTTTAATAATACTAGCCTACAGTTTGACCTCAAATCATATCAATATATAAACTTGACAAACCTGAAAATAATATACTTTTTTTTTTGTTTTGCTAACCTTCGTGACACTTTTAGGTGGGTGTTATATATTCGAGCAGGTTATGAAATTCTTTAAACTAATTTCACGTGACTAACTCAGTTCAGCTGGGTGTAGTATCAGTCACATTTGTCTTTGTTGTTTACTGGATAAGGGGGAAATTCGACTGAAAGCTTCTTTTATCTTAAAACTGGTATATTAAGTATCCTTAGGCAAATACACATTTCTGTTAAAGAAACAATAAAATGAACTCCTTTTTGTACCTTAATTTATGAATAAAAAAGAATATTTCGTGAAATTTGAGAAAATAATTACATAGCAAATACATATTTGAAACCAAATTCATATCTTCAGCAACAATATTACAGAATATCCTATAATGATAAATTAAAAAAACATTTGCAAGCACTCTATTGGTAGGTACTTATAAATCATGTGTATCTATTCGATATCTTGACCATGATCATTGGTATTTACGATAAATTCATAGAAGAACGCGACACTTTGGAGATGGTTATCCATTATAACATGTTCATCGACACTATGAACAGTCTCCAAGATAGAAGGATCGGTGACTGCACCGATAAATCTATAGATAGTATCAGTTACATTCCAATAATGTTTAGAATCGGTGTTAGTGGTAACAATTGCACTTGCACTGTATACGTTGTTGTCCAACCCTTGTGGACCCCAAACATCATTGACAAATAGATTTTGAATGGTACCTGTAAGTAGATCCCAAGTTGGGCCATTTGAAGCAGAGACTGGAGATGGCTCTAAGAATTGTGTATAGTCAACCCTAATATAACCAAGACTAGTGGTGTTGATAATTTGTTCCCCTTCAACTATTAGACCATAACCAAATGAAGTGGCAGTGATGTTTGCGTAATTGAAAATTCTTTGTTTAGTTTCATCAACGGATGATCCATAAGCAACTCTATGGTTAACTGTGAATTCGGTGGTTTCAGGTAAGGCATTTGCTTTAACACCACCATTAATTATATCTACGGCCTGAGTAGTTGTAATATAGTTTTTAGTTAGTTCTGTATTGTACAAAGTTTGCCCCAATAAGTTTTCTAAAGTTTCATTAGTTGCTGCGCCCAAAACCATTTCTTTGATAGATGTTGGAAGTAAAGAAGAATATTCGGCAGCACATGTCATAAAGCCATACAATGGGTTTTGTACGTTAAAGTCAAACAAAGCTGGATTATCTTCCAATGAAGTTATCATAGAAGCAGCGACACCTATTGTAGTATGAGCGGGTGGGGAAGAAGAATGACCACCAACACCATTAACCGTAACCACAGCATCTAAGTAACCCTTTTCTGCATTAGGAATAGCAGCAATGTAGGTGGTGTTGTCTAGTTTAACTAAACCTGGACCCTCATCAAACATAACCATGACACCATCTTGCCCGTATTTCTCCTCAATGATATTAGCAATATATTTAGCACCCCACGTACCACCAGCTTCTTCATCAAATCCATAAGATAATAGTACGGTACGATCGGTCTGGTAGCCATCTTCTAATAATTTTTCCACTGCTTCCATGTGAGCAATCATTAGGTTCTTTACATCAAAGGAACCTCTACCCCATAGTGAGTCGGTCTGATTGTCATAATGACCAGAGAAAGGAGGGAATGTCCAGTCATCAATAGTATTATTATTGACTGGAACCACATCTTGATGAGCCGTAAATAGCATAGGCTTTAAGGATGTATCAGCACCTTCCCAGGTATATAACAGACCAAAAGTGTTAATAAACTCTACTTTTAAAGTTTTATGGAGTAACGGAAATGTTTCGTTTAGGTAAGTGTGTAGAGTGGTGAAGTTAGAATAATAGCCCATATCATCCTGAGGATTAGGAGGGTCATCATCTACCACTGTAGGGATCTGAACGGCACCACTTAATCTTTCGATTGAAGCATCCTTATATTCGGAGTCGAATAATATTTTTTCAATTGAATTTTGGAAAGATGGAACTAACGCATCTGCTTTGTCACAAGCTGGTTTGATACTTGTAGACTCATCGGCCCTAGGATAGATGGCTGCACCAAGTACTAATGTGCTTAGTGTTAGGGCAGTCGACAATTGTTTGATTATTGTCATTACTTAGGGAGTATATAGGTATAATTTATTGTTCTTATACCGATAAGGCTATAGAGTATATACCAAATTTTAAGAATTTTGGTCCAAAGAAAAGAATAAATACAACAAAATAACGAAGGCATATATGGCCCCTATTTATAGTTTTTATTATTGGAGCAGGATTGATGTCTTTGAGTAATATATTTTTAGTTCTCCAAAAGAAGAATTATATGCGGTTTTCTTCATTCTAGGAACCAACCACCTTTCTCGAACCTTTCCCTAACCAATCATAACAATTACTACGAGAATAGAAAACATACACTTTCCATGGAATGAAATGAAGCGCCTTGCCTTCGAGTTAGTTGTAGTTTTTGTTTCAGTGAAGAGAGGGGGTGTGGTAAGTCGTTCGAACAATTGGATCTCAAATATACGAGAGCAGTCAGTTAATTATCAGCACATTCCTGTGAACGGATTTATCACATCCGTCTCCCCGAGAGTTAAATGGAGTATAGGATAAGGTAACTGTTAAAAGGATTTGCAAGGGAAACAAAAACAACAATAACAACAACATTCCTTTCGTATGTACGTTCTACTGGGAACTGTTGTCGATAACTTCTCTAAATGTAGGTCGTTCTTCTGCGTGGCTTCATCTGTACAATGGTCCTTCCATATTTCTCCCCTGTGCATCCCCCTGTGTATCCCCCGTCGTTGCTGCTCGGAATATTGTTTTTTTTCATTTTAAAATTCCACGGATATTTATACCTTCTACAAAAGGAACATATGGTGATGCATGATGCTCTTCGATTCGTCGACCCAACCACAGAGGAGTATAAAGCAACACTAACTGGACAGCTACTGAAACTTGCAGAGACATGCAGATTGGTTCCCAATTCTCAACAAAAACAAGGTTAATAATGTCCAATCCAGTTGGAATTCCTTTTACTGTATTTGGATATTGGGTGGGTGGGTATTCATGTAGAGCTGATGTCTCCTAGCTGGTAATTCATAAGTGGATCCGGGTTTAATTCCAACCTTCCTTCTGTGATATTTGTTGGGTAGGTGCAAAACGATAAATTCATGTTAACCATTTCTGGAAACTCATATGTGCAGTTAATGTTAGAAGCAAATGTTTTGTTTTACTATTGACCGTTTGTTTTCAAGATGAAATCATTCTGGTTTGTCTCAGCAAAAGAGCTTCTTAACTGTCTCTCAAGGAACGATTTCGTAAAATCGTATATTCATGCAGTGGTAAAAGTTGTTTGCGTGCCAAATAGGACGACGTTTTTATTTCTTGGTTTTTTATTTATGAAAACTATCCATAAAATGAGCACTCTCTTATTATGTAGGCAAGTTCATTGGTTTGTTCTATTACTGGTACCAGGAAAAAAAGGACACTATAATTCATATGGAATAATAAATTCCAATATTTTATTGTTAGGCTGGGTATAAAATTGACAGATATCCCAATTATGACCATTTATTCACTTTGATTTTAGCAACGGATACTTTCTTTTGCTATATCTTTTATATTTCATTATATCGTTCAATCAATGCGAAATAATATCATATGATCTTGAGAGGTCATGTAGAAATGATAATACATCCCAAGTTCTTAAGAGCGAATCTGCTATTTCCGTATTAACCTCTAGGCTGGTATAAAATTCTTGCTCTATTTATATGAGTACCTGATCAACATAAAATGTTTCCCTTTTTAAACATATTCTATCCTCTATTCTAACCTGTAAAGTATACAATAAACCTCTCCCCTATGAGCTGCATCTTTTTACAACTACCGCTATGGACTGTCGCAAACCTTCTGTTGATAGAAGCAAAACGGTAATTCTTATCATGGCATAATTATAATATAACTCGCTTATTCTCTATGTTTAAAACTTCAGAAGGAATGTCATTTGAAGTTCTCATAGGGTTTATTTCTGGTAAATTTGTAAGAAGTATTACTCTCCATGATACTTTCTTCCAGTATATCATCATCATCAAAAGTAATTTCGAAACTTTTTGTACTCCCACCTAGAATATCAGTACCACTAAACATTAAAATGCCCTCATAAGAATCATTTAAAGCATATTTGATACTTTTATAAATTTTCATAAGATTTTTTTCATAAATATCTTTAGAATCCCCATTATCTATTTGTCGTGAGCTATAATGCGAGTCAAATATTACCTTTAATAATTATTATGACTAATAATATTAGCCAAATAGTTGATTTGAAATATTGATGAATTCCTTAATTTGATACAGTTTCGCAAGTAGAGTCTACTCTAATTTTTCAAGGTAAATAGAAACTGCTCTTTCCATTTTTCCTTTAAATTAAAAAAATGTGAGACTATCTAATGATAAACTATTGTTATAACAATTTTTCCCTATTACCAGCATAGCTTGTTATAAAAAAAGTTGCTGGTAATTTTATTTATATTAAAGGAAATCCACTCCCCCCAATGTATTCCTCTCTTTTTGATGGTAATTTTATTACATCAAATAAAGGCTGGCAATACATTCTTCAATAATCAACAAAACAAAGATATTCAACGAATTTGCCATTGTTAATAAGAAGACTACTTACTTATTATTATGCATACTTTCAATTTATTTATTAAAGATGTCTTTCTATTCCTGGAAAGGTGGAATTTGTCATTTTCAATATTGTTTACATTTCTGTATGGGAACTTTTTTACGAAAAAATTGTAATTCAACATGATATTATAATGTGCAAGTAATCAAAAGTTGTTTTTTTAATCTAGAGAATACGAAACCATCCCCCTTTTTGGTCATGCAAGTTATTTTCATATGAATAAGCTGAGTCGATGATTATATGTTGAAAGAGGCAAGGGTAATTTTAGAGATAATATAAAATGTAATGAGAAATTGATTGTATATACTCTGAATAGCAGTCATTTTATCCTATAACGAACTTTAAAAATAAGAACAATTTCAACTCACTACAGAATTACTAAGCATGGTACTATTACGATGATGCTATCCTCCATAATAATTTTTTCGGTATTCTTGGTAAGACAGCGAATGGTCCAGATATCCAACTGTAAGAAACTATCTATTTCAGGGTCAAATCTTGGTATTTACTTCAATTTATAGCTTGTAGGCAAAAATTAAGTACCTTCTGATAAGTCAACAAACTTAAGTAACCAGTTTTCTCGTCTATCCTTCCCAGGTGTTCCGCTGTACTCTCGTAACTCGCCTAGTATGACATTTAACATATATGATAATGTTCCAGGAATAGTATCACCTATATAAATATTAACTATTGAGGAACAAGTTGTTTTTGCTACCAACGACAAGATGATACACTTTCAGTATAGAGACCAATCGGGAAACCAAGTTAATGATCGTAAATTATCCAGACGTATACTGTTATAGTAGCGCCACTAATAATGGGTTTTCGTAATAATTTAGTATTAGTAGTATCCTACCAATGCCTGTATCTGAAACCGCTGCAGGGAAGATTTACTTGTATTAAGGGTTTCAATACGAACTGACTATCTCATTCATCAATCTGGATAGAAACAGATATATGTATGTCAGATATATTGCTCTAAACGGTACTTATTTCAATATTGATTGAAATTTGTACCAAATCAACAATTGAAATAGCTCTGAAGTAATACCCCCAAATCAACACTGATAATACCAGTGCCCACGCCAACTAAAGTGATTGGCAATACTCAACCAAGTCTATCATTAATTCCACCACATATGATGATACTGGCAGCTGTAAAAACAACATAAGTAATTAGGTGAACTGTTGTTTTCTATGGAGGAACTACTGGATACTAATTGGGAATATTGAACTACATATATGATTTGGGTCATGAAGCTTAAACATATTAGGAAAACTATAAAGTTTGTGGTAAATATAATTCTCCTTTTAATATTTTATAAGAGATTAATTGTTGATATTGAATGTTATGTTTAAAGTTGTTAGAAGAAGGAGAGACGAAACGCTTTTGAGGTAAATTCAAAGTCGAGGAAGTGACACATACAGTTTTTACTTCCTGGAGAGATTGTTCGTTATTAGAAGACAACGTTGTCGTTTTTCACGTTTTATTAGAGTATGTAAATATTTGTATAGGTTGTCTATAGTTTTTCGTCCTCTATTCATTCTATTCTTTTTAATTAATTCATCTGTTTTCAGTTATTTTATCAATTTTTACTTTTCGTTTACAAGAGGTGACTTATGACGTAGACTGGTTTTCAAGATCGGAGTTAGATATATCTGCCTGAATGAGAAACAACAAAATATGAGGTCTGACAATAAAGAAATGAATGTTGTTAACATAGAAAAACTGGATAAATTCGAGGAGGAGGTGAATACATTGTCAGATACGCTTGTAGGTATAATAATGGATCTTAGTAGTGAATTAAGAAAGACAGCAAGACAAATGTTGGTATTTCAACTTGATAAGTACTGTCTCTAATTCAAGGTGGAATATGAGCATTTGCTGAACTTAAGATGAACCCATGATGTGATTTATTTGTAGGAGGAATAAGGTGGAACCGGATATTACGGAATATCTAGCGGTAAATGTACCAAACTTAGCTATCCCGATATTGTTATACTTAGAATGACTGTATGCTTAGATGTATTGCAAACACATAAAGGTAGCACCAATAAAGATCAGAGCTCTTTGAATTCCCATATGTATATCCCCGTAGTTACGAATTATTTACTCTCCTTTATAACTACGCCAGTAAATACAGAGATGTCATATTCGAAACAGATAAAGTTGTATGGAAATCACAGACGTTGGCTGACGGATCGGAATATTTTTGCATTATGAAATGTTATTACAGTTTATAATTCAAATTTAAAGAGATATATCCTTTCTAACTTTGAATCACAACCCTTATCCAAAGCTCTTAGTTTTGACAAAAAGATTGGACCACACAAGGAGTGAGCGTGTTATATTAGTTGTTCGAAAACTATGTTAAAGAAATATGGCGTAGTATAGCATATTTATAATTTAACCTCATCGATTGTATACTACAAAACTGCAAAATAACTTGTCGAATAGTTTACCCTTTAACGATTATTTTCCAAAATTAAGAACTAATTTACACAATGTCACCAAGGAATTACTTAACAAGCCGAAAATAGTAGATCATATTAATAATATTAAGTTCTAGGTGTAAGATATATGTATCGGCTGTTTAGTAACTTCGTTGTGAATGCACCTTTAGCTGAAACTAGTCTTTGGAGGATCAATAAAATCTCTAATAATTCTAATAAACCATTTGATAAATAACATGTTGGGGCCCCATTTTCACCGACCCATGCTTAATACTAATTGGTGAACAGAAATAATGTTTTTCTATTCTCGGTTGACTCTCTCGTTTCATTTTGGAGAAAAAACAGATGACATATGTGGATCCACCATTCTCACTACTTACCATACTCTACTCAGCCTTTGATCAGGAAGTAGAGAGAATGGTGGTTCACCTACTGGACCTATACCTGTGATTACCACTGTTAATAATTTTAAAGGGACGCCTAACGCTAACAATGATCTGACTTCTCAAGGTAACCTAGGGCCACATTCACGTACTTTGGAAGGTGGTAGTAGAGGTCCTGAATCTTCAAGCACAGCTGTTGTATCTCTTGCCGACGCCAACATAGGTAATAACCTTTCAATAGAGAGCATGGTCTCTGCAGCATTATTTTTACTTGTAAATTATTTGATAATTGGGTTTTGATATCCGTAAATAGTTGTAAGTCTCCTTTTAAGGTCAATTATCAAATGAGTTATTTCTCTACCACACAGGTTTTACCTCTTTTCTTCTCGAACGATAACATAGACATTTTTTGAAGTCATTGTCTAATATATAATTTTATCATATCCATTCTATTAATGAAAGCTAGAAAAATAATTCAAGCTTTTGAATACTCATATTATGACTGCCTAAGGGATGTCAATTAGATAATTTCTGAACAATTCACATATTTATTAGATATTCGGTAAACAATTATATTTATTTATATGTTTTGGGTGGTATCCCAATGTGAAGCCGTTGTTCACTAACAAAACATAAGGCTGATCTAGCACTTTTCTTTATAGAAATTTTGAGATATTAAACAATATCAGAGATAGAGAAAAAGCCGAATTAAAGGCGTTGTTCATAAAGGTCTTGAAATAAAACTATAGTTCAATAAATTTAACGATCTCTTTCCAGAAGTTGAAAAATTCTCGTCTCTGACTGAAAGTTGTGAAGTAATTACTTGCGACAGGTGTCTTTTCTTGTTGTGTAAATATACATTACTTTATCTAAATATGGACTCTACGTAAATTTTTCTGAATGTAAGTTATAAAAGTATTATGGAATGATACTTTTGGAACTACCACCCTTTCAAAAAAAAATTATACATTTTATTTCATAAGTACCTAATTGATATTCACAAAATCCTATAGAATAATGTATTCTCTGATTGTATAAGACAATATTACCATACAGATATTTCCCTATTCTACAAACACTATAATTCAATAAATATTCAATTTTGAAAATACAACTTGCAATCCATAAATATAAATTATTTCTAATAATCGGGCATAATATGTTTTATATTGGATAGAAATTATAAAAGGCTTTACTATACTAATTATATATGTGTGTAGGAGTTCGAAAACTTACATAAAGTTTCATTTTATCTATCACTAATTTTCATATAAATAGGAAAATTGAAGATAAAATTGGAATAATAATGGTGGCTATGTTGGCGTACAAATGGTTTTCACCATTTGGATTCATAGAAAGTGGGGCAAAGCTCGAAGAAGCTGCAATTTGGTTACCGTTAGAAGCTGATACCTGGACCTGGTTTGGGGTTACACCATTTGGAGGAGCGACTGGTACAGTATGGGGAACATTTTCTAAAGATATTGTTTGAGTGGGAATTACGGGAACATTATATGTATTATACATACAGTTGGGACAAAGCGTAGAGGTAATTGTCTTCACAATTGTCCTTTCACTCACAACTTCTTGGTTTTCCGAAAAATCTTTTAAAGTAATATAGCCTAAGAAATAGTTACCCACAGTTTCAACTACTGTTGCAGTTATCACGGTCACCTCATTCGAATAGGTTTCTGAATTGAAGACGGTCACACCGTTACCTGAAGATGCAGATTCCATAAGGGTAACTACCGAAGAACTTGTAGTTTCTGATTTTTCAGGACCAGCAATAGTATCAAAAGAGTAAGAGCTTAATCTACTAAATGAATCTAGGGTTGAATGTTCAACTTTTAAAGAAGAAATCACTTCTAATTCACTAAATATATTAACTGCCCCGGTTGTGCTGTTGTTATATTCGAAACTGTTAACAGATATAATTGAAGAACTGGTTTTATTAGATTCTGGGACACCCACTGTGGAAGTAGAAATTGATTCAACATTGGAGGTCAACCATTTGCTTGATATCATAGTTACTTCAGAGCTAATAGAGTTAGTACTACCTGGCTCAGATTTATCATCGATTGAACTTGTCACACTCTGGAATTTGACAGAGCTTGCGATGGAAGAATCCAATGAGGTCCTAGAGCTATTTGTCGAGGAAGAAGACAAGATATCTACTGCACGTGGAGAAGTTAAAAGCTCAACTCCCGTTGTAGTATTTCCCAAAACTGTAGGTGTTTCGATGGTCGTATTTATACTAAAAGTTGATAATACCGTAGATACATTGCTAGAAGACGGGACAGAGACACTAGATATAATGCTACTAGAAGATAGTGTGGTTAGTGTACTCGAGTCCTGAATAATTAAATGACTGATAGAAGTTGTTGGTGAAGATGGAACCCCAATAAGAATCCAGTCTTGTAAAGTGACATAAATATCATATCCTGAAGATAATACTTTATAAAATTGTAAAGAACCAGTTGAGGTACCTGTACCTGTCCATGGAATTGTAGCAGTATATACTCCAATATCGTAATTACAAGTTCTAATTTGTGAACTATTCAAAACATTCATTTCATATAGATGCCAGTTGATATTAGAATACGCACCTTCCGGAGAACGGTAACTTGCATACAAAAAAGCATTAATATTTTGGTTAATAAATGATACTCTAACTTCATAGCGAAAATTTTGATATAAATAAACTTTTCCACTTGGATTTTGAGTTTCTGGCATTGAAGGAATGCTAGTGATGGTAAATTGTTCATTAATGTAATTATTTGTAGCATTTTCGCAACAGTAAGCAGTAGTTTTATCTATTATAACCAATTCAGCGGCTGTAGTAGCGAGAATATCGAAGGTGTACCACCCCGTAGTAGGAGGTATAAACCAAGAACTCCCAATCATACTGAAATTTGTAGTGGTGAAATTATTTCCAAAGAGAATACCGTATTGTGGTTCATTGGCTGGACCTTCAGGATAAATGTTTAAATTCATATCAGGGGTATATCCAGTATATAATGGAACATCATAATAGGCTAACCTAGAGATCCAGTCATATAAGTTTGTTTGAGGCATCTTATATGGTGTACCATTGTAAGCTAAAGGATAAATGGTGTAGTGCATACCCGGAGAGGTATCCGAAACAAAAGGACGTTTGCAATCACTAACTTGTGCTAATATGTATCTGGCCCAAGCTACCCATATAAGAAATAGAAAATATGTTGATTTCATTATGTTTCTGATTGAGTGTGTGAATCAAATTGGGCTAATAGTTATCTTTTAACGATAATGAGAAAGGGATAAATAATAAATTGAACGGTACTCAAGATCGAAAACTACTCAAAGATTTGGCCTTCAACTCTCTTTATATATATAGCATTGGAATTCTGGTCATTATTGTGTGAACTTCTGTAAATATGAACAATTCTCTTCTAATTTCAATAAGAATTAGAATTATAAGGAGTTGGTAAAACAATAGGTCACTCTACATTCTTTCAAATTATGGATTTTTATAGTAACTTCAGGTAGCCTTGGAAAAGGTGAACGTCAACAGGTTCGGTAATACATCGTCTATAAACGGAAATATCCCCTTAACCTAACAATAAAATCACATACGAACAATCAACTAATTTTCAAAATAGTATTTATTGTGAAGTTAATTTTAAAATATATATACAAAGAAGCCAAACTACATCGTATTCTTTCTTGGATCAAAAGAACATCTTCCAATTTCGGTATAAGTGGTAGCCACAACACAGAAGCTCAATTCAGAAATAAGAATTTGTATCCGGGGTAAGTGTTTCACCACATAATGTATTTAGTCTTCCGAAATGTCAAAAAAGTTATAAAGAATGCAACCGTAAACACGTTAAAACAATAGACACAAAGTTCTAATAGTGCTAGGGAATAAAGAATTTCGAAGTAAAAAGTTAGGTAGTATGTTACGATAAATATGTCTTTCTCAATAAAGTCAAAATAATGATCAAATACACATAATTTAAAAAGTTCTTATCTAATATCAATCCTTGGAATACATTCTTGTTATGTTTTCTCTGATTGTAACTCTTTTCAATTACCGGAAAGATAAGTAATTGATTGTTATTGTTCTTATAAGGAAATGTAAGCAATTCATACTTTAAAAATTTGTAACAAATGCAAAATAACATTTTTTTTCCTGAAATGCACATGGTTACGATTGTAAACCCTCCAACCAATCAGCCATTGGACAATACGAAATAGCCACAGCAACGTCTTTAAGATAATTTAAAGGAAGGCATAAGAATATGTTGATTAGCAAGTACGTGGTCAACTATTACCTACGTCTAAACTGATTATATATAATTTTTATTTAGATTTTTTCACTTTTTGAAACAACTATTCTCATTTCCAACAGCGATTCCATATTAATGGTAAATGAGTTCATGCGAAACCGCTTCCCTTTAGATAACGCATTGAAACGTTGTTGAATATATTCCATTCACTTTGAGTTGTTGAAAGAACCATCAATCGGCAAGTGTTGAGTCTCAAATAACACCGTAACAGGGCCTTCGATGACTCAATGGAGTCAATTACTGCCGTCACCTTCCTGAATGACTACTGAACATGTTTCTTGTGGAACTGAGTGACTCAAAGTTAACACCAGCGGCGGGAACTGAATGCCGTAGAAAATCAAAGAAACCGGTCAATAAAACGAAGTTCTCCAAAATTGAAAGCTATAGCTATTATCAACGAAGTCAGATGACATTTTCATTGGAGAAGGTCAAACATTTCAATAGATGTGACTGTATTTGAAGACAACGATAAGAATATCAGTTAGTGAACGGGTAGGAGTTACATATACCTCAAAGTGATGTGTTATGTGGATCTAATCCAGGGATAACCTGTCTGACCATAGACTAAGGCCGTTTCTAACAGAAACAGATAGGTCCCGTTGAGAGCACTACATGATGAGTTGAGACGTGACGAAGGATAAAAGCATAGAGAGTTGAGTTTGATATCCTGAGTCTTATATAATATCCACTTTAGTATCAAGTAAGAAATTGAATGTACTAAAAGTATATGACACCCATATAATACCTTACATAGAGCTTCCTTCATTTACTTAGCAGATCACGCATATTTATATATACGCAGTCTATCCCTACATACCAAATAACTACATGAAAACTTACCAACGATGTCTAATACGAATGGTAATAATCTTCAGGAAGTTAGGATCGAATCGGCCTCTTCTTCGGGTTTGAGTTTATTTCAACACCAGATAGGTGAAAATCTTCGTCCAACAGCACCTATCAAGAGAAGAAAGAATGTATTTCTGGTATCCATTTTGAGTATTGATGAAGTCTGTTCATAGGTTAATTGTTTCTATATAACTTAAAGTCGATTGAAAATATGGTTTATTATTATTTAAAAAAAGAATTATTAAACAAAAATGTGATTAATATGTATCTATACATAGCATACATCGACATTCGAGAGAGAAGAAATGAGAAATTTTGTTTTGTTAAAAAGACCCTGATTTTTGACTGCAGTTAAGAAAAGTATAAAGTATATGATCAGCCAGAATTATAGTAATAAATAATTCAGAAGTAAAAAGATTGTTGCGGAGGCCATACTCTCTATTGAAAGGTTATTACCTATGTTGGCGTCGGCGAGAGATACAACAGCTGTGCCTGAGGATTTAGGATCTCTACTAACAGCTGCCAAAGTACGTGAATGTGGCCCTAGGTTACCTTGAGAAGTCAGATCATTGTAAGCGTTAGGCGTCCCTTTAAAATTATTAACAGTGGTAATCGCAGATATAGGTCCAGTAGGTGAACTACCATTCTCACTACCACCTGATCCCCTCACTGCTGTTGCTGTCACAGTGATATCAAAGCTGTTACCAGAACCTCCACCAGGACCTCCACCAGGAGATCCACCACCTGTCTCCTGTCCATTTATAGGTTGAATTTCTGATTCGATTTTAGTCGGAGTCACGTATATAGCTGAAGTATACGTAATAGTTATCGTATCTGTAATTACTACCTCTTCCTCTACCTCTGATTGGGTAGTTTCTCCTGTAGTAGCCGACGACAAGCTAAATGTTATACCTGATGATGGAGTAGCAATATCATTAGATATCGGAGTCATCACCTTAGTTGTAGTGAATGTTACTACAATAGTGGTCTCATTAGGTGGTACAGGAACCTCAACAGTGACGATTTCTGTTTCAGTAGTATGATTGGAGGTGAGAAAAATTGTTTCTGTTAAAGTTAAGCTTCCAAAATTCTCCGTTCCAGTTGAGGTTGCCGTAGTTTCAATGCTGACGGCTGGTAAGGTTTCGGTCAACGTAACGAAAGTTGTACTACCATTATTAATAACAGGAAATGTTTCCGTTATTGTAATCTCGTCACTAGTAAATACAGGGGTGTCGGTAGTCGTACCCAGTACGGTTTCAGTTGATACTTTTGTTGTAAAGACATCAGTGTTTGACACCGTAGTCTCAGTTGCTATCATGGAGGGTTCAATATTTGTGCTTCCCAAAACTGGAGGGCATGTGAATTGAGTCACATCAAAAACATACCCATCAAAAGTGTCATGGACTTCTCCATTTGGATCTGTAAACGAAATAGTTTGAATCGCAATTGCATCTCTATTGAAATGAACGATTTTGAATTTATAATAAGTATCTTGTATCAATGTTATAGTGGCATTGTGAATAGTCGGGTTATTATAATATTGAAGAGACAAAATTGACGTGAGCTCATCCTCATAATCAGGACAACATTTACCTAGATCACTGGAGTAAATTTCTATTAATGAAGCGTCATCTGTTTGCCCAATAGTAAAGACATAATCACCACTTATTTTCGGAATGAAGTATCCATCATATTCCACTGTAAAGTTAGAAATGGTGATGTCAAATCCATTTATTTGACCTTCCTGGATTACAAGATGTTGTGTTCCATAAAAGTGGAAAAAGTTGACGTCCTCAACACTGGAAACAGTTCCAAGGTACTGAGCATAATTTACATACCCACCGAATATAAAATCTTCATCAGACATTGCATTGGCGTACTCAGGGTATACGTATGTGTAAAACTTAGCTGTCAACCCATTTCTCTTTTCAAGGTAAGTTGGTGAACAGTTTAAAGGCAGTGGAGGGCGACTTTCTATAATTCCACTATCAGAATTCCCACCAGAATTGCCGCTACCTCCCCCACTAGATTGTGACGCTTCGCATTGGATTGATATGTATAAAACTAAAATAAAAGCTATAAACCACATATTGGAAAATATTTGAGTTGATTATATGTTTAAAAAAATCATTAAGATGGAAATAGAAATTTCGCGAAAGTTTTTATTATAAGACAATTTATTTTGAATTAAAACAGTCATGGCTATATATATATATATCAAAAGTTGTGAACCTGATAAGAATATTTTCAATTGCAAGTATTTACCAAAAACGGTAGTGGACTTTACATGTTGGTACATGAAGACAGTAATACCGCTGGAGTTGCAAATTTTAAGGATGCTGAGTTTTCTTGGGATAGACACTATTATTCACTAATATTTTAACAATATAAGTTGTTAATACTTTGGTAATGTTTATAATTCACAATTAGGTTAATGTGAAAGACTGGTGGGATATATATGAAAACAAAACTAACGATATTCTGTAGAAACCCTTGTATTAAGAGAGTTGAAACCCCCCTGAAAGAAGAGATATTTTTATAGGTTTCAATAAAACATTCTTGTGGGTGAGCAGAGTTAGGAGATTGTAGGTCCGTAAGAAAATATTAGTCGAGCATCTTGGGTTTTGATAACCTTTTTCACTATTATAAACAACATTCCTAATAATAATACTAAACCATCTGGGAACCAGTGCTAAATTTCGTAAAATGATACTCTTATGAACCCTGATCAATTTCAAGGGGCATTTTAGTAAATGAAGGATAGAAATTCTTCTCTAACAGTACATGATTTAAATCATTTTGAAATTAAAGATAGTCATAATTAAATTTATTATTGTGACCTCCTCTCTGATACCTTCTACTTGTCATGTCTCTAGAAATTATAAAACAGTTGATGTTGATGTTGGAATTGTTCCAACAAGACAATGTCTGACATCCCCGAGCCGAAACATAAACAATAGTATCCCACTTTTTGCAGGCATCAATTAGAAATATTCTGGCCGGAAAACAATGCATAAACCCTATACTCAAAAGCGACGGTTGAAGCATAGTCTCTTCAGCCTTCAGCTGTGATTTTTTGGAACAGATTCTGTTGGTTAGAACCAGCCAGATGGAAGTTAAGGGAGAGTTTTACTTGTGATTCATCCCAAATTATATTATTTCTTGAAAGAGAGAAATGAATGTCCATTAATATAACAATAGAGGTGAAGTTGTTTTAACAAAGCCCTATTTTGGTCTAATAGTCTATGATCCTATCAAGTTATGGTGAAATGAGGTATTTTTTTCTCTCGAATGTTGTTGTTCATGATGGTGTTTCAAAGGCACAAGGCCTTTACTTACAGGCGCTAAAACAAAATCGTGCAATACATTGGTTTATAATAGGGCATATACTTCATATTTTATGTAGTTCGTACATTATGGTAATACCTGGATAGGTAAATGTTATTTATCGCAATTAGCCCTTACTGTATTTATTAACTGGTCAAATGCTTCTCACACTCTAAAATTTATTACTAGGACTATTATTCTCAAGGATAGAATATGTTATTTAAATTCTACACGACAGTACGAAACGTTCTTACATAGAAAAAAAAAAGATATTTTTATATTGATTTATAATTTTACAGTGTATATTTATTAACATATAAATAATATATATGAATGCTAAGGTAGACAATTAGAAATTTGTCTTTAGTAATTAATGCAAAAATGAAAAAATAATGAGGAAATGCAAATATCATGCTTATCGTGATCTTTTATCGACAAACGATAAAAGTGAATTAAAAATTTGAAGTGGGTTTTTGAGCCTACTCAAATTCCTTACATGAAGTGGAATTGCAATAAAGATGCAGTGATTAGGAAATAAGAATAGTATGATTTAGAACCGGCGTTCTCAGAGTTGATAACACTGTAAGTGGAACTTGTAGGTATGTACTGAACTATTGTGCTTGATGTACTTGATGCTTGGGAAGATGTCATAGTGGAAACAGAACTATGATCTCTTTCATTGGAAACGAATGTTTCAACCGACGACGAAACAAAATTTACTGATACATCGCTACTGGATGGGACCAACGTTGTAGTAGATCTCTTACTTGAAGATGTAGTAGTGTATTCTTGAACTGTGACTACATTAGATTGGATAGGAATTCCAGATGATAACACAGAGTTCTGAGTTGTAGTTGCACCTTCAGGAATTGTAGAACTGTGGTAGATACTGGTTTTGCTCGAAGATTCATGTGAAATTGTACTCACGTCTAGGGTAGTAAATGTCGATGAAGTCGGAGACTCTCTCTCTCCCTCAGAAGTTGTTTTGCTTTCAATACTTTCGGAAGTAAATAATGCATTAGGTGGGCTGAGAATAGATGAAATAGTCATATCGTCCTTACAAGAACTACAAGCATCGGTTATAACATATGAAGATGTATATGTAGTTGTACTCGTATCAATTGAAGCAGCATATGTAATTAGCTTATCAGGGACAGATACTGTTGGTAATGTGACAACCTTACTAGTTGTTAGAACAATAGCAGCAGTGGAAGTACTCTCGGTTGAAACCGAGACTGATGATGATATAGAATTCAATGATTCTGATAATAAGATTGTACCAGTCACATTCTTTTGACGGGTTGGTGGAACGTCCATACTAGAAAAAGAGTTTTCAGAGGATGAGGCAGAATAAACTTCTGGAGCAGAGGTAATAACAGAGCTTGAGATGATAGTTGTTTGTCTTGCATCTAAAGAACTCTTCGAAATTATAGAACAGATTGGTAATGGCTCTGAAGTATTGGAAGAGAAAACGCATGATGCTGTTTCTCTTATTTCTACTGAATTCAAAGAACACCTTGATTGGATAGCTGTAATATCTTTGGTCGTAGATGATGTAACAGTAGCTATAATTTGAGAAGTAACCCCCTCCAAAGAAGAAGAAGTTACAGAACTCGTGAAAATGGAAGATGATTCTATAATTTCAGCAGTAGTAGATGAAACTGTAGCAGTTTTAGTTCTATCTTCAGCATCATCAATAGAAGAAGTAACAGTAGTAATTTTAGTTCTAGCTTCAGAAGAAAAGGAAGTATCTCTCGCATCCAAAGAAGATTTTTATTCAAATGAAGATGAGAAAGCAGTAGAAACTGTTTTCTCAGATGAAACGATAATAGAGGAGGTAATTTCAGCAGTAAAGCCAGCATAAGATGAAGTTAACTCAGAAATAGTAGAAGTAGTTAATGATGGATCTGATGAGGTGTATTCTGTTGAATTAAATGATTCAGTAGAAGTTTCAGAATACGTGATAGGTGGTAGAGAATCAAATATAGGTGGTAGAGGATCGTATGAGGGTGGTAAACTTCTATCGAACGAAAAACGTGGAAATGGAGGCATATCCGAAAAAGGAGCTAATGTACTCATTACCTCGGAAGAACTTGGAGAAGCGTCATCAATGAAAGATGTAAATGCAGTAGTTTGGGTTCTAGCGTCGGCATCATCAATGGAAGATGTAACTGTAGTAGTTTTGGTTCTAGCTTCGGCATCTAGAGTAGATGGAGGAGAACTTGCAGAGGCATCATCATCAGAATATGTAACTGTAGTAGTTCTAGTTCTAGCTTCGGCATCTAGAGTAGATAGAGAAGAACTTTCAGAACCATCATCATCAGAACATGTAACTGTAGTAGTATCATCAATGGAATATGTAACTGTAGTAGTTCTAGTTCTAGCTTCGGCATCTAAAGTAGAAGAAGTAATGAGAGCAATATATGATGAAATGATTTGGGTTGAATCAGAAGAAATAACTTCACTGATGTGACTTGAAGATATGATCTCGCTGGTATGACTAGAAGACATGACTTCACTAGAATAACTAGAAGACATGACTTCACTGGTATAACTTGAAGACATGACTTCACTGGTATAACTTGAAGACATGACTTCACTGGAATAACTTGAAGTTGAAATAGAAGATGAGCTTGGGTTAGAGTCAACACCACATTCAGATGGTAAACCTAGAGCCCAACAATAGCCTGGAAAATCAGTCTGTGAGTGACCTTGATTGTCGTAATTGTTACAACCAGTGCTTAAATCGAAAGTACTAGTACCCCAAGTCCATGTCTGCCAGTATTGGGCAGCGTCACCTTGTAAGTATTCAAATTGAATTTGGAAGTTTGGCAACCACCATTGGCAGTCGCTTAACGTAGCATATACTTGGAAAGTAACTGTAAAATCAGTTGGGTTATCAATCAGGTAAGTGTTTTCATTCTTACCGTATAGTACAACAGTACTTGTAGGACCGTTAACCCCAATAATTTTCAAAGAGTAAAGATATTGTAAAGGAATTTGTTCTTTACCTAGAACATGAAGGGTAATTTCGAACAAATTATCTTGAACCAAAGTGACATCGGTGATATTCATGGTATAATACATGATATTTTGAATTTGTGTATGCCATTGGAAATCCAACTGTGGACAACCGTTGATAGCAACATCACCTGATGCCAGAGCAGCTTTTCGAAATATTGAAAGTATGAAGAATAAATAAAAAAATAACATTATGATTTAATTATTATTACAATAATATAATTGTATGTGAATTTGTATAATGAGTTGTTATGTTTTTTTTTACAAGTTATAAATTAGAACAATTAAAAAATCAAAATGATAAGAAAGAAATAAACATCTTTTTGATCCAATAAACATGGTGCATATATACTAACCTCAGAACCTATTAAAATCAGGTCGACCTGACCTGACCATGATATATATGTCAAATGATTTTCTTCTTAAGATGAATGTGTCCTCGGAGCCGTGATAATTCATCTTAAGAAGAAAAAGAAATGTTCGAGTTAATTGTGTTCAGTGTATGTATGAACTGTTCTTAGTAATCCTTATATTTTTTGCCCTCCCAGCCACTAAATTAAACACCTTTTTCACCTTCTTCTATTTCGAAGAGCTTACATAAGGGATAAAGAGTTAAGCCATAACAAACTTGAAGAATTGGTCTTCCCGATTCTAGTGTCAATAGGATACGCCTGTATTGCTCATCCATCTATTAACTTCTCTAAGCCAGAATTTCTTTTTCAGGAATATTCACAGTAAAAG